TCAACGTATTCTAAAAATGTTTTAATGCACTCTAAACATGTTTGGACGCACTCAAAACATGTTTCGACGCACTTTAAATATGCTTCTACGCACTCACAAAATGTTTTGATTCACTCTAAACATGTTTTGATGCACTCTAAAACTGTTTGGATGCAGTCTACGATCTTCAAATCCTAGTATTGTCAACCTGGTCTGAATTATTCTATCCATTTCTATCTATATTTCTAACCCTAACCATTAAAGAGAAGGTTATGTGAATAAATATAGTTTGATGTAATATTTGTATTACAATCATTATATTTGTAGCGTATGCTATGTTGAATAATTATTAGATTCGCATTCACATGGAAATTTCGAGGTTTCAGGATTTCGTTGATCTATGGAAAGTGACTGGAGCCCACCCTTGTCGGATTTTCTCGCCCTATAAGTAATGCATCGCCATTCCCAAAACACATGACTACACAAACTATGTGTCCTTTTGCCATATATATATATATATTGTTGAATGTCTACAACACATGTTGCTCCCGTGGTCCACCATGCCGTGGTCCAGTTTTTTTATTTTCAATATGTGTGTGTGTGTGTGTGTGTGTGTATGGATACATTTTTTTCATCTGCTATATACTTGTAATTATCATGTATAAAAGTAGTAAAATATGAAAAGTATTGTTATATATATAGATATAATTCACATATGTGTCTGTATACACTCATAACGTACCACCGAAATTGACATAAATGAGATATATATACCATGCATGATATATAAAACACCCTACAAGATATTGCATGTTATATATTTATCAAATATGATTTCAACATTCCATAGTGAGAATGTTGGAACTCTTATATAAAATGTTAAGGAGACTATATTATATCTCACATATGTGTCTGTATACACTCATAACGTACCACCGAAATTGACATAAATGAGATATATACCATGCATGATATATAAAACACCCTACAAGATATTGCATGTTATATATTTATCAAATATGCAACATTCCATAGTGATAATGTTGATATAAAATGTTAAGGAGACTATATATTATTATTATATATATATATAACAATACTTTTCATATTTTACTACTTTTATACATGATAATTACAAGTATATAGCAGATGAAAAAAATGTATCCATACACACACACACATATTGAAAATAAAAAAACTGGACCACGGCATGGTGGACCACGGGAGCAACATGTGTTGTAGACATTCAACAATATATATATATATATGGCAAAAGGACACATAGTTTGTGTAGTCATGTGTTTTGGGAATGGCGATGCATTACTTATAGGGCGAGAAAATCCGACAAGGGTGGGCTCCAGTCACTTTCCATAGATCAACGAAATCCTGAAACCTCGAAATTTCCATGTGAATGCGAATCTAATAATTATTCAACATAGCATACGCTACAAATATAATGATTGTAATACAAATATTACATCAAACTATATTTATTCACATAACCTTCTATTTAATGGTTAGAAATATAGATAGAAATGGATAGAATAATTCAGACCAGGTAGACAATACTAGAATTTGAAGATCGATTTGAAAGTCTCTGTGTTCACGTTATAAAATACTTTGGGTAAGTCCAGAAATAGAAAGAAAAAAAAAACATCGCATCTTGTAACCAGAAACGAAGACAATCTCAAGACAAGTATCGAACCCTATAACAATTTTCGAAGAGAAAAAGTATCCGAACTTGTTGATAGATCGATTTTTTTTGGTAAAGAAAAAAAATGCAATGAAACAAATACATGCAAGTGTTATAGGGGGTGGCGACTTTTCGGTATTCGGTTCCGAGTTAGATTTTTTTAAGAATTTTTCGATTTTTCAGTATTTTTAAATTCAATTGGGTTCCAAAAAAAATCGGTTTTATAAAAATATTATTGGACGGTTAGGTTTAAAAAACGGTACCGGAAAACCATACCGAAACGCGCACCCTAGTGTCCATCACGTGAAATGGTCCGTAGACCCAACACAGCAGAACTCGCTTGGGGACCGCCTGTTACGTGGAAACTTCTTTTACGTAAATAAACCACGTCGTTCTTAAAACTAGAGGTGGGTGTTTCGGGAAACGGTTCGGGTTTGGGATGGAATAGATCGGTTCGGTTCTTTCGATTTTACAAAAATAGATATCAATCGGATTTTTTTATTGTATTCGGTTCGGTTCTTCGGAACCGAACCGAACCGAAACGCCCAGCCCTACTTAAAACGAATCAACGTCAAAGCATCAAATCAGAAATCGAAGAATTCAATGTTGCAGACAAGTTGATAAGTGAAGGGAGGAGGGGCCATAAGAGCACATGCAAGGTCTTGGCCCGCCCCTTCAGAATTCTCCAATCCATCTTCTTCACCGAGTCACTCACTGACTCACTCACTGTTCGTTTTTTCCACTGACCCCCCACACACAACATCGTCGTCAGATAACGACAAAACGAGTGGCATATTTTATCGGAGTATAAGTATCACAGATTAGACATTTATGGACTAACCATGTTAAAGTATTATTGATGGTTACCAGATTGATCAGACAACGTTAGACATTACAAAACTCATCGAGAGATATCCTGACCTGAACTATGAACGATCTGCATATCTGTCCAAAGAATCCAAAGAACCTGAGGAACTCAGATGGTGATTAAAACGTTAAAAGAAAAAGGAAAGAATTTATATATTAAGACTATATTTATGTAAGTTATTTCTAAATTAAAGTATTTGAATTACTAAACCAAATTCATTGGAAATAGTTCACACGCTCAAGATTCATCGGCTGCTCATACTGCACGGTGATGAACTCCTCAGCCACAATCCAATCGCCATCTGTCACTGACTTGTCCTCTTCTACTGTCCTTGAACAACTCTGCAAAATAGAAACATCAAAGAGAAGTCTTTATACGTTGCGTAAACCCACGATCAAAAAGATGTTTTCTTGAAGTTATACAAAGTCATGGAAGCAAGAAACTGAAAGGTTTGATTGCAAGTAGTCTGACAAGGAGAAAAAAACATAAGAGAGATATGATGTTTGGTAATAATAATACCTTGGAACAAGTGTGGATTATCAGTGTCATCCAATCCCAGTTATCTAATGATTGCTTGAGGCTATTATCCAAAACCGCTTCTTGTAGAAAATATATCAATGGAGGCATGAGTTGCATCTCGAATAACCTTGGGGAGCCACAACGTTCGCACTTCTCGGGTGCTTTCACTATTTCGGTAGCCAGAAGGGGCTTACCACCATATGAGTACCTGGCCATGGCAGAAACAGAGCAGCAATGATCGATCATTACGACAACCGCGGGAGTTTAAAGAGGCGGAACGGGCATCAGCCATTCAGCAAGATCTTGAAGGAAATGCTTTGAAATGTTCAGAGATCGTTTTGGCAAAAGCCCGATTCTTTTCATCTTGGATTCAATGGATGAGATATGCTGAGAATTTATCAAGAGGAAGCGATTGTGTCATGTACCTGAAACACTGCTCTGGATTAGCGTCTAGCCGTTTTTTGAACTTAAGGTAAGTCCTGTCAGCATTCAGAGCTTTGTCGTATTCATACTTCTCGTCTTCCCACTTTTCTTCACTTCCATGCTCATCATCATTCTCGGTCTCTCTATCCCTAATGGAAAGGGCTGAATAATTCATTGCGAGAGAGCCAACATCTTTTGATGGGCTCTCTTCCTGCGAATGAATGTAGAAACACGGTACCACTGCAATAGATTGACCTTTATCTATCAAATAGATGTGGAAAAGATTAGTACAGAGCTATTGGGAAGTGAAGTGGCAATGAATATCTATGAAAAATCTCACCTTGGCTATTTTCACCCCCAACTCTTGTAGTTGATTTTAAAGGTGAGTGCTTTACTTTTGTCTCTAAACCCGATTTGCTACCTGATTTGGTCTGTTTCTTTGAATTGGAAGCAACAGCCGCAGCCTCGGAGAGAGCTTCAGCTAAACTCCCTAAATCAAAATCTTCATCGTCTTCATCACCGCCTAAGTCCCACAAGTTAGTTTTTGAGGCTAAAGCCGGAGGAGAGGCAGCAGAAATGCCTGATAACCTGCTTGGTTCCTTCTCATCGTGGGCTTTCTGAACACGAAATATTCTCCAGCTGAAAGTGATGCATCCACATAAGAGATGAAACCATTATTCACTATATCAAGTATCAAGAAACTTAGATACGTAGAAATCAAAGATTAGACAGCAATGAAAAAGGATGGATAGAATCAAAAGAGCCAAAAAGGAACAACCTTTGTTCAGATGTTCCACAATTCAGCATCAAACAGCCAAATACATAAACAGTCCGTTCTTCAATGTTGGAATTCTCAGTAGAAATTGGGGCATACACCTTTAGCACAAATGTTGCACAAAAAGAAAAGGGTAAATTATATATAACTTGAAAAAACATTCTGAACCATTGAATTGGGACACCAACCTGAGCTACGAGAGAGAGTCTACTTCCACAAGAACGGCAGCTCAGTAGTTCTGTTCTCAGTGCATCCTCAGATAGTGGCGGCCAATCCTTCCAAAAATAATTTCAGCACACATTCAAACAAAAAAAAAAAAAATCAAACTTCCGTTTGAAACCCAGAAACAGAACAAAAGCGAAGACGATTGGAAAGAATGAAATCAAAACCCGAGTCGAGAAAAAAAAGTTACCGGAAGACCACCGATCTTAGTTGTGTAATGATCAGACGACTCGCGTTCGTCATCTGCCCACGAACCTGGAAACCCAATTAGGGTTCTGACCATTGTTTTCTGCTTTCGGAAGATTCGAGTTTTCCCAAAAAGAACAGGCGAAATAGGCAGCAAAACCTAAATTTCAGGGAAATCCAAGTTCGCAGGAAAGATATCGGACCAAGCAGAGTGAAAAATCAACCAACTTCGACAAAGGGTCCGAATCGTTTGCGCCTTCCGCTTGTCTGGTGATGCAGCCGACCATGGATTTCGGAGTTTGGAGTTGCAGCAGTTGTTCTTCAGGGTTTTAGTGTTTTACTTGCGGCGTACCAAACCGGGAAAAGACGACCGTCGAGTGATCCGGTTCGGTTAGCTTCGGTTTACAGTTTGCTTTGGTTTAAGATTAATCAGTTTTAGTGATTCCCCGTGTTCGGTTAAAATTGACAAATTCATATTCGAGCTTATTTGAAGCTATAATTACTTAATTAGAAGTGATGACGAAAAAATCAGTCTGTAAAATGCTATTTAAAAAACCATACTTGAAATCGATCTTTTTTTTAATGTATAGTATCAAAAAATAAAGGAGATAATGTTGTCTAATATAATTTATACAAATCAAAGTTATTCCAATTATAAATAATTTATCTTAAAACTTTTTTCCCTCTGATTTAAGGTCATTTACAGTGCAATTATATAATAAATTAAAATAAACAAAACACACCCTGCATTTTGCTATAAAAACACTATATACAAACACCCTGAGCTATGTTACCTTCTTTCTCTTCCCTGTCCATTCCAATGGCGATTTTTCAATGAAGGATTCAATCCAACTGATGAACAACTGGAGAGAAAAAAAATACCCTTTTGAAGATTTTTTTTCACTTCCATCTCTTAGCGTTCTTCAAGGACTTTGATTTTTGTTTGGAAGCCTGAAACGCCTGCATTTTCTGCTTCTTCCTCGCTTCTTTCTCGGCCTTTGACATCTTCGACTTAGCTTTCACTTTCGGAGCCTTCTCCTCCAATTCCGCCTCCCTCTCCATCTCCCTCGCTCTTGCTTCAAGATTCTTCTCCAGGTAATACTGAGAGAATTTCACAATTCATGTTCATTCAGAGTGTTAACCAAACCGACCCGGATCATGTTCTTTACCATATCTATCTAGGAAGAGCATATCAGACATCATGGGCGAAATGTTCGAAACAGAACAGAACAGAGGAGACAGTGAACGGAGGAAGGGGGAGAGGGAGAGATTTGTATTGAACGTACGTTGTAGTCGCCGGCATAGTCCTGTAACCCTCCATCTCTGACTTCTATAACTCTGTTTACAATCTGTTTAATGAAGTATCTATCATGTGAGACTGCGATGACCGTTCCTTCGTACTCGTTTATCGCCTCCTGATGAAAGATTCAGAGAGTTTAGCCTTATTCTAAGAGCACAGGGGGGGGAGAGAGAGAGAGAGAGAGAGAGAGAGAGAGAGAGAGAGAGAGACCTCGAGCATTTCTTTGGAGGGAATGTCCAAGTGATTGGTGGGTTCGTCCAAAACGAGCAGAGTGGAGGGTTTCACCATGAATTTGCAGAAAGCAAGCCGAGCCTAGCAGTCAAGAAGATCAAGATTGACAAACATAAAAAGAACAAGAAAACCAGAGAGAGAGAGAGAGAGAGAGAGAGAGAGAGAGAGAGAGAGAGAGAGAGAGAGACTATTGGTCTGAATTTCATACATACCTTCTCACCGCCACTAAGAAGAGAGACCTTTCTATCAAGCATGTCAGCTTTGAAATTGCACCGCCCGAGGAGACCCTTTATATCATCTATTCTCCATTCTTCTGCAACTTCCACAACCGTTTCAAGAACCGTCTTATCCAACTCGAGTGCCTCTGCCTGAATCAGAGGAACGAAAGTTCAGATGCAGCCAATTAGTTCAGTTAAAACTTTTACAGTTGGAATTTCGTGCGCGGAAAAAAAAAACAGATTTTTTTACAATGGAGAAAAGACCTGATTCTGCTCGAAGTAGTTTGGCAATACATTGTGCTCCCCGAGAATAACTTCACCGCCCGTTGGCTTCTCCAAACCCATAATCACTTTTAACAATGTGCTTTTGCCACATCCATTCGGTCCAAGAATCGCGATTTTCTCCCCTCTTTCTATAGCAAGATTCCCCTTGTTAAATAGCATCTGGTTTTTGCAAGTTAACAGGTTATAACATGGCCCACATGTAACAAAAGGAAGTATTAAATCATGTCATCTCACCTCATCCTCAAAACCAAAGTCAAGATTCTTGATATTGACTACCATTCTTCCACTTCTCCCACGTTCCGGAAACCTGATTTTCATCTGTTTCCGCTGAAATGGCTTCTCGATCTGCTCCTCTTCTTGCAGTCTCTCCAGTTTCTTTCATAGGCCACAAAAGAGAAACAATATCTCAGATTCCATTTCAAGAGGGAACTCAAAAGAAAAATGTCAGCAAGAATAGCCACGAAACAAAAGAAGTGGTGTTAGTTAAAATCATCATGTGGCAACAGTACCAAATCTCAAGTTTGCAGATAAAGAAGGACAAGTTCCATATGGCCCTAAATCGTGCTGTCTACCCGTTAATAAAAAACGAGAATTTGTATCACCGGACTAACCTTTTCTGCGGTGGAAGCACGGCCAGAATTTGCCCCGGCACCCAGCCTGCCGACCAAGTCCTTTGTTGCTTCGATTTCTTTCTGCTGCTTCTCCCACGCAGCATACTGAGCTTCAATCCACTCCGCCTTGGAAATTACATATCGAGAGTAATTACCCTCGAATGTCCTTGACACACCCATTTCGGTTTCTACGATTTTCGTACAGAGCTGATCAAGAAAAGCTCTGTCGTGGGATATTATCACCATAGGAACGTCTTGCCTTTTCAAATAACCTTCGAGCCACTCTATAGTATCAAGATCAAGATGGTTCGTTGGCTCATCGAGAAGCAGTAAATCTGGCTCCTGTTCGAAGCAGCGCCATTAGTAGTGAGTCCATGGCAAATACTCTATTGCACCAAATCAAATGAATTTATCAATCTAAACTAGGCAACAAGCAAAGTTATCAATCGACATTCCATGAATTCACAGTACAAGAAGTGGCTGAAATCCGAAACTTATACCTGAAGCAAAATCTTCCCAAGAGACATCCGCATCTGCCATCCGCCGCTGAACGATGCCACGAGCCTGTCGGCGTCCTCCGGCGCAAACCCTAACTCCGGCATCAGTTTACTGATCTTGGCATCGACTCTGTCCAAATCAACGGCCTGTGCTCGCCTCTGCAACAAATCAAATTCATCCAGCAATCTTCCCATCAGCTCCAAATCATCCACAGATCCTTCTATTGCCTTTTGCACCTTTTCCAACTTCCCAGCAATTTCCATCTGCTCCTTAAACGCGTTCATGAACTCTTCCTTCACCGTCTTACTCATCGAGACCTCGAATTCCTGACTCAAAAAGGCGATTTTCATGTTGGGTTTCGCCTTGATCACGTTTCCCGAATCGGGTTCTTCCTGACCCGTGATGATTCTCAGTTGGGTCGTCTTACCGGCGCCATTAACGCCGACCAATCCGACTTTTTCTCCTTTCTTAACCTCCCAGCTCATGTCCTTGAGCACCGTCACGCCTTTATAGCTCTTACTTATGTTCTCCAGCTTCACACCTGACGAAATCCCAGACGCCCCACCGTTGGATTGGTTGCTATTACGTCTCCGAGCGAAATCGTCAGTGGTTTCGGTCGAGAAGAGTGATTCGACATCGTCTTCCACCTGTTTAACGGACGACTCGACACTGACGGTGGACACTTGGGCTCTGATGCTAGGGATTTCGCGTCTAGGGTTAGAAACAGAGGAAATTTTCAGGGACTTCGAGGTACTCGGTGTCGGGCATGGACGCAGACCGGTGAAGAAGGTCGAACGGAGGTCGAGGCGATGGAGATTCGTCGCCAAGCCCATGATCAGATAAAGGGGAAATGAAACTGGTAAAGTGGAGAAGAAATGTGGAATTGAAGACGAAAACCAAAGACAGACGAGGTTCGAGAGATTCTCACTCCACCAAGCAGCAGAGGAAGGCCTCTCGAGCTCCGATAATGTGCGTACGTATCTAAGCTTCGTAGGTCTCTCTCTTGTGGCGCAGAAGCCCTTTGAATGTCACCGCCTCATTTATGCCACGTGGCATCTTACAAATGCATCCACGTATTGGAACATCACATCATTTTTTGTAATTTCCGTGTTTATGGGCCTAATACTGGGCCTGATGAATCGATTCAACTTCTTGGGCCTGCTAAAGTGAAATGGGCTTCGTTGTCGGTAGGGATTAAATTATCAGCAAGAAGTTCCAGGGTGATAATATATAAATAAATATTTCCAAATTTCTGATATTATAGTGCAATGAGAGGAATAGTTTGGACGGATGATTACTGACAAATCCATGGGTTATTCCCCTAATCACGTTTACCACTGGATTTTTATTAATTTCCAGCTTGTCCTAAGATCACATCACAATGCCTTTCGCTCGATTTATTAAACGAATACTACACATTTAATTATTCGAAGGCAGAGCACGTGCGTACATATACAAATCCGACATGCATAAAACATTGATGAGGTCGAACTACTCAGAGCCGTCCGTACATGGACAGAAGATCTCTCAGCCTGGCAGATTCTGTTTCCAGATGATCAAACCTCGTCCGACTCGGAATCCTCCAACTCCAGTTCCCGACCTATTTTACATTCCACACAAAATGCAACTATCAATAACATGGAAATCTCCCAAGATTTTGCTTTCATGACCTTATCTTTCACTTATTTGGCTTATGGGTTTTATATATGTGATGCATATATGTATGTGTTGAGAGTTACCTCGGTTGCAGGAGTGTTCATCCTTGCAGAACTTCGGAGCCCGAGAATGTCCTGCATGGGTATGACCGCGGTTTGAGCAACCGAAGAGACAGCTGCCTGGATAAGCGCCCATGTGATATCATTATCTTCACCGAGAGAGAGGTACTTCATTGCCTGTGATAGGAAATCAAATTGTGATCAAAATATCAGAGAAACACATGTTCTAAAGCTGTGAAATCTCTCACATTTTTGTAAGGATAGTGTGAACAACCCACCTTGGACTTTTCTTCTTGGTTTAGATTTTCCCACCAGCCCAGGATCTGATAAACAAAACCCGGTTTTCAGCTGTAAAGCCCCAGCACAAAAACGGAACAAAAACTTTGTTCCCGGAATGAATATAGATATAGGTATTCATGATTTAGAAACCCATTATCCAATATTTATTTCCCATCAGGTATAGATTCTTCAGATTGCTAAATTGACCCGCTTACCGTGTCATTATCATGAGTTCCAGTGTATACAACTTGATTATATTCGTGATTGTGAAGTAAATGTGGGTTGTCGGAACCACCTCCAAAGGCTGGATAATGGGGGAGAAGAAGATTTAAGTTGAGGGTTGTACCGAGAAAAAGAGATGCAAAGCTATAGAATAAGGAATCAGATATATTACCAAACTGGAGGACGGCCATTCCAGGTGCTCCAATAGATCGCCTAAGCTGGACTACATCCTCAGTAATAACTCCCTGTCATTTGGTAAGCCGTAAGTGTAACCTCTCTAAGCATACTCACTGCTGATTTTTCAATATGTAATTTGCTGAGCAGAAGATGAAACTGATCATGATTCTGATTCTTCACAAGGTCATTAACCAAAATGGCACACCATAATTATAGTCATTCAAGGCTGATCCTACACACAGCCAAACCATCATCTACTTTTTCAGTGCCAACTTCTCATGCAACACAGGGCAAACACCAGGGAATAATTGTGTAAAATCATGTGTGTTGTAAGTTTGTTTCAACTAAACAAGTTGAAATCAACGTGTGTGAAGACGAATTTGAGCCTGATGAACTTACCAAATCTTCAGCAATGATTTTGAGCTTCCCAACCGCTCTGAAAATGGCATCGAATAAAGACTTCCCAGGTCCTACCTACTGCCAACAATAACAACTTCTTGGAGTCATTAATTGTTTTACCTGATCAAATTCTGACTTCAAAGAATTAATCAAATCAGACCTTCCATTGTCCAACCATGGCAACTTTAGCTTCTGCAGAGTATCAAGGCTCATCAGTGTTCTGAAAAATACCGGCGCAGACGGAAAAAAAGTCCTGTCTAGTTCGAAAGTTGACTCACCAGCAGGAACAGCCCAAAACCCAGTAAAACCTCTGAAATGATCGATCCTGAATTCATCATACAAGTCCTGTGCACGTCGAATTCGGTGGACCCACCAAGAAAATTGGTCATTCTCCATTGCTTTCCAATCATAAAGAGGGCTTCAAAGCAAAGAATGAAAAGTGTCAAAGCACACATTGGATGAAAAAGCAAAGATAAAATGGAAGGTGACTTGAGCATAACAAAAAGGATATGGCAGGAAGAAAAGGTACTTTGGACGCCCAGTGGCAAATCGAAATGTTCATATTCGCCATGCAACAGGCAAACAGTTTAAAGAAAATCTATCAAGAGAAATAATGGCATCTCATGCGATGATCTATCATGAAGGGATAACAGTAATTAGTAAGTAGCATCACACCTGCCCCATAGTTGGCCAGTTTCACTGAATAGATCAGGAGGAACACCGCTAACCAGAAGGGGAAAACCTTTCCTGTTCTGCATAAAGGTAAAGGAGAAGCTGCCCTGAGCCAAATATCAACATCTACGTGTATGTACAACAAGATTGTCTGTCACCCTATCTGAATATTTCAATTACCAGTAAGAATTGTTTTTTGTTTGCCCAAACATCTGCACTGTGATATCCTACATAAATGGGCATATCTCCCATGATACTGACTCCTTTGCTCTGTGCATACTCACGGACTTTCTGCCATTGCCTTTGGAACAAAAATTGTTTGGCGATGAACATGTCTATCTGTAGAGGAAAAGTAAGAGGAGATGTTGAAGGCTGTCACAAAAAGGAATTTATGACGAAATCCTTAGAAATTCAGCCCAAGGTCACCAAGATCTTACAAACTCCTTTTTACTTTCATAAATATTTTCTAAGGCAGAAAGATGGCGGCTTTTAAGAGGTTCCGGCCACTCAAACCAACTGAAGGCATTTACTGTATTGTCTATAGCAGCGAAATAAGCAGCATCTTCAAGCCAACCTACAATTACAAAAAATGAAATTCTAGGTGAAAACTTATGCACCCACAAGAAGCCATCACACAATTAGAAAATTGATCCTCTAAATTGACATTGCTCACATGATATAGTCGGTTCGTTAAGGAAATCTTCCAGCTGGCTCTTTAGTTCACCTTTGCCAAGAATAAGCCTCTTCGCAGCCTGAGGAAAGATCATCAATCGAACTTAATAAGAAAAACCCATCGATAGTGTCAATGCAACATCTGAGACTAGTGAATCTTTATGTAATGACCGAGATAGTTGTATTCAGACAACATACCATAGTTATCAAAGGACCCTTCAACTTGTTGACAGTTTGATAGTTCACATGGTCGGTATCACTGGACATTAAGGTATCAAGTGTCAGACATACCCAAGAATTTCGTATCGATTTAGAAAATCATATTCAAGATTCTCACATTGGCAGGGGGAGCTCATCCTTCATTAACAAGCCATCCTTAACGAGCTCTTCAAGAGAAATCAGCAATGTGTTCCCACAATTTGCATCCTAGAAGCAGCCATGAAGGTTGTTAGCCATAGTGAAAGAAGCAATCACACAGAAATCCATAGCTTTTACATCAATGATTTGGTTAAAAAGAAAGAGGAAGAGAGAAACCAACCTGACCTGCATAAGGAGATCCTCCTTCATCCGGTGGAACCAGAGGAAGAACCTACAAACAGAGTTTATCATTAAGTAATGTACTATTCTTTCATACTATTCAGGCTAATGCGTCGAAGTTTTGCAACCTAATTTGCAGAAGAACAATGCAATTTCCTCCAATTTCACGATCATCCCAATGAGTGAAATCAGTTTCCCTTAATTTCCGTGTAAACAGAGGAAAGCCCGAGAAAATCACCTGCCAAACGGAGCAACCAGTGGAATGAAGCCAGTCGATGAACCGAAACGCCTCGGCTCCAAGATCTCCGATACCGTGAGGACCGCGAAACGAAGTCGGGTGAAGCAGAACGCCAGCTCTTCTCCGGTGATCTGGATGTGGCTTCTGTAACCATTGTTCGTAATCCAACGGCAAGTCCTTGCCGACGCTAAGGTATGAAACCGAAGTCGAGACCGCCACCGTCGGGAAAGACCGCGACCAGTTCGTCCTGGCTCCGAGGAGCTTGGGAGGGCATAGAAATGGAGATGAGCAAAGGACCGCCATGGATGATGATCAGTTGATCCCCAAGCTCAGAGAGAGAAACAATGGAGATCCGCGGGAGAGAGAGTGGTTATAGTGTAGTGAGGCATGTTACAGTAAGAATCACGTGAACGGAAAGGCGAAGCCCAATAAGGCCCAATCCAAAGCTGAGGTGGGCCTGAAGCAACTCGATCCAATATGGCAATTATTAAACTAATTCATATTAATTTTACGTGTAATTTTGATAAATTAAACTGATATCTTTTATTTTTATTTTATTATAATAAGTTTTTCTAAATCCATCCAGCTATACGTTATAAAAATATTCGTACGTATATTGAAGCCGGAAATATTACTCTATCAATACGTAACTATTAGTCTGACGTGGACTTTGAATTGCAAAACATTTTGCGCTGATGTTATATAGCTTTGTGAGTCGGTCCAAATTAAATAAAGACCATAAAAACATATTTCGATATTGACGACTTGTATTTTGGCAAAAAAAAATATTTTTGTCACGTGGTCCGTGCAGATGGGTTTGATGAGTATTTTATACAATAATAATGTATATGTGTATATATATATATACATATTAAAGGAAAAGGGTATACGTACGATCAAATAATGATGTATTAAAAGGATTGACGCCAATAAAGTCATTTTGAAATCAACGCATGTGAACTTAGAGCACATGCCAAACATGATTTGTATTAAAAATGTATAATACTATTCTTCGCAAGAAAAAAAAAAGGGTCGGAGCCCTTTTGTCAAAGGTTTTCGCAGATCGGTCAAACATGCATGTCCGTGACTCACCGGTTGTGCTCCAAGTCCCAAACATTACGAGACGCGGTGACTTTCAGTGAATAATATATATATATATATATATATACACTATATATTAAATGCGCATACGAATCTGAAGGGACAAATGAAAACATTCAGCGAGTTATTTCATCGAGATGGCAATATTTGACCCCACATTTTAAAACCCTTCAGCATTTCCATGGACCGACCTTTTTCTTAAACCTATAAAAACAGGAATGTAAAGATAATTCGGTAACTCATACCCACACGTTGTTAAGTGTCTACGGCGGTGAAAGTCACTGTTTTCACCAAGAATATAGGAGAGATAGGTTTATATATATATATATATATATATATATATATATATATATATATATGGTTGATTTCAGAAAAGAATCTATAGTCGAAGAACCA